GTTCATTGAAATAATCTACTGATTTAAATTTTGCAGGTTTCTTACCAATTTTGTAACTACCTTTATGTGCAAAAACACCCTAAAAATGTGTTTTAAAATAATAGAACCATTGGGGAATATTAGGAAAAAAGTTCTGCAGGAGATTTTTATTTCTTACAGTAAAATATAATTATCAAGTACACATAAATTATTTGATAAATTCTTAATTTCTTATTATCAACATTCTACTTTACTATGTTACAAAATTTGAAATAAAATTCATATAGAAAAATAAGTTTTAAACAAAAATTAATTAAAGATACGTAAAAATATCTTGTATATTAATAACTAAAATTACTTTATTAAATAGTAATTCATCATACATGATTTATTAAGGTTTCTTTATTATTAAAAAATCTTACATTATAGTATAGTAAGTATAATGTTCGGAGCGCGCGTTTATATTTTAAGGTTAAGTAAAAAGAAACAACAGGTTGCACAGTACCTTTGACACCGAAGCGTTGTCCATTTTAGTAATAATAAATGTTAGAACAATTAAATATTAATTAAGCAATTGAACAATTATTCAAATAACTATAAATCATTTATAACAGGAAAAATGTGCAGCAAACTCCTCTCCCTCTGGTAGTTTGCGCGCTACTGTTAGTTCCAGAGGCGCACATAGGTAGCGCTGCTTACTGGACATGCTTTGTATGATTTATGGGGTCCCTGACACCCCAAGATGAGATTACGTCTGCATACAGAAAGCACAGCCGGTATAACAATCGTGCCTATTTTACCAGAGCCTCTTTTACTGCATTACAGACTGACATCTGAGAAGACCCAATTTTTCACTCCCTCAGATTCTATTTTTTTTTTCAGAAATCATTTAAAAGCAGCACAAGAGTGAGTAATTATTATTATAATTGTTTGACAAATTTCTATTCACTTCATGCGCCTTAGTAAATAAATCAATTTCATTTCTGAATTATATATTTAATATCCTTAACTTCTTTTCTCAATTATTTATAAATGCAGAAATAAATTATAAATATGATATACATGAAAATCAAACTTAAAACACAGTAATTACTTCTCAATACCAGAAAGACCTATTTATTATCCTACTTCTCTTCATGGACCAAGGCCTCCCTTTGCAGATATTTATTTTTTCATTTGTTTTAAGAGCCTCGTAGGGACTGATGCTGAATCATTGCATCTTTGCATCCCTTGTATCCCTGTATCCTTATAGCACTGCATTCCTCACATCATTGCCTTCCTTACATCTCCGCATCCTTTACATCCCGGAATTCTTTATATTCCTGCACCCTTTACATCTCTGCATCCCTTACATCCCTGCATCCCTTACATCCCTGCATCCCTTACATCCCCGCATCCCTTACATCCCTGCACCCCATACATCCCTGCATCCCTTACATCCCTGCATCCCTTACATATCTTCATCCCTTACATTCCTGCATCCTTTACATCTGTTCATCCCTTACATCTCTGCTTATAACTATAATAAATATATTGATGGCTCCTGGTTCAATTAAAGGTAAGTAAAGGTAAGTAAAGTCTCATAACATTCATTTTTTGAATTCAAATTTAGTTCCTTTTTTTGCCACCAGAGGGCGCTGATTCGACCTCGAAAATTTAGTTCACATTTTTGCCGCCAGAGGGCCAAAATTGGTGCATGGTTTAGTTCCTTTTTCTGAAACCAGATGGCGCTGATTCAACATCGAAAATTTAGTTCACATTTTTCCCGCGAGAGGGCCAAAATTTGGGCAAGCTTTAGTTCCTTTTTCTGAAACCAGGTGGCGCTGATTCAACATCGAAAATTTAGTTCACATTTTTCCCGCTAGAGGGCCAAAATTTGGGCAAGCTTTAGTTCCTTTTTCTGAAACCAGATGGCGCTGATTCAACATCGAAAATTTAGTTCACATTTTTCCCGCTAGAGGGCCAAAATTTGGGCATGGTTTAGTTCCTTTTTCTGAAACCAGATGGCGCTGATTCAACATCGAAAATTTAGTTCGCATTTTTGCCGTTGGAGGGCGCTGCGCAACAATATTTACTTACCGTTTACTTAAAAGTTTTTTTTTTTTTTTTTTTTAACGTGGGGAAATCTTGCATAAGACCCCCCACCGTCCCCTGGGGGAAGGCGGCGGGGGAGTGTCAGATTCTTACTGACTAAAACCCCACGGCGACCGATAATGGCGCTAAAGACGGGCTCTGGGACCTTAATTACTCCAGAGCCCTTCACGCCTGGCACATAGGTGCCCTTCTAGGGTGTCTAGCGTGTAGCCGAAACCGGGGGTCGCACCCGGTGCCGGCTTCTAAGTACTTACTTGGGCCCCGTGCAAAGGCGTGTGGAGCCCCCACTCCAGACGCCAGGGGCCCTGATGGTCCCACCAGTTTTGGGAATTACTTATAATTAAATAATGGTGCTTCACTTAAAGTAACATGCTCAAATATTTAAATGAAATGGCTTTATTTATTGAAATGACAATATCTGAAGGAGTAGTTTAAGGTTTAGAAAGTAAAATGAAACAAAATTTAAAATAAAATTTAAGTTATCTCAATTGTCTATCATTCAAGAGACAATTTTTAATATTTTATTAAGAGCATGTATGCAAGGTACAAATTAAATCATATATTAAATCATTATAATTTAAAGTATGATCAATTCTAATATTCCATTAAGACTTATTTAATAATTCAATAACCAGAGTTTATGTAATTAAAATTTGTACCTTGCGATTTACCATAATACACTATATCAGAAGCTATTATTATTAATTTACGAAAAGAATCATTGAATTTAATGTTTGATCACATTAGAAATAAAGGAATCACAGCGAATGAAATTGAATCGGAATCAATTGGTTCGTCGGACGTCGGAACAAAAATGTTCCTAGTCAGCGAATAATCCTGAGCGAGGGTAGAATTTTCAAAATCGAACGTACCGTCCAGCATTTCGATCGCGATATTCGAATTTCACGAGCGTAAGCTAGCACGATCATCATCTGAATCGCAAATGCGCCGATTGAATTCGTCGAGGCCGAACAAACAATCCGGAAACCGAGAGTTTGATGCTGCATTTCGCGGTTCGAGGCTTGTTCCGTCCAACTTTCCACGGACCTGATCTACTTGCACAGCGAACTTGACTGCCAGAAACTCGTAATTGATTTAAAGAAGTGTCCAAACAAGATGCCGGTCCCCTCGGCAAATGTATTGAAATACATCCCTACCAGAGTCGACGTTGGTTTGTGTAAACTGTCCGTGCAATCGGCACCGGAGGCCAGATTATTCGGGACGGGAAGTCTGCTTTCAACCGGCCAAGGGAAAACGGTTTTTTGGCCAGGGAATATAAATCGATCGCGCCAAGCAGCTTTGTACGAATGTTCTCGTTTTGTGGTCGGCCATCGCACCTGTGCCCCAAGGGGTTCCATCGTCGAAAATAAATGGGATTCGATCGACGACTTAATCATCCGCCTTCGTTGAAAGGGACGTCGGGGACAAAACGATGCAGAGATCAAGGGAGCTATTGATCGCTAAATGGAACGTATTTGTCTGGATTTTTCGATCGTTGTACCTGGCGTTTGTCATTGTGAATGATTAACGCGCACATTTTTATTCATTCTAGTCTTGTTCTTATTGTTTCGTCCATTCGTGCAGTTTATTGCACTGATATTTTTCAAACTTTTAATAAATCATTTCCTTTATCGCAATAAATTTGTAATTTTTCAATCTTCCTCCTATCCCATTTATACTTACAATTAATTTTTAACAAATGAAAATTCTTTTATTAAATCATATTGTTCTTCGCAATATTCAAAACTGTTTCTCGTTTAACCATCTAACAACGAGCATCCTATAGAACACAAAAAATTGAATAGCAAAGAGATCAACGTCATTGTGTTCTTCCACAAAACGACACCGTAAAACGAAAACCGTGTACCCAAAAAAGAATCGTAGAAACTAAAAGAAACAAAAGTTTACACCGATGTACAGCGTCAAACGTATTACTTCCTCCCGCATCACTGCCAAAAACCGAAACGTAAAAATCCGACCAACGAGCACGTCGCCGGGCAAAGAATTTTATTTTCCAAACCACAACGGAGAACAAGCAGCGCGGAACAATAGAAACGCAGGAAAAAGGTGAAGCTTAAACTAAAAGGAAAAACCGACGTGGGTGGAGTGAAAGAAAGAAAAAAAAGGAAGAGTTGTTCGCGAAGCTACAAAGCTGGTCTCTTTATTATCTCGTTACCGGCTGGAATGTCCTCGTAATCCTAAGCTTTTTTCCAGTCGCTGTCTGCTGCTGGAAGCGCGACAGCATAGATAGCGTTTTGCATCCAACAGAGAGAAGATTCAATCTCACCAGAAAAGGAGAAGAACCGTCGCGACAGGAGAAACAACACAATAGCTCTCATTACGAACGCCACGAAGAATCGGTTCCTGTTTCGTTGAAACGCCTGCTGTTCTTTGCTGAAAGCTTCAAAGAGCCGCTGCTGTGGATTTTAACCCTTTGCGCTTCGAGTTACTTCATTTTATGTAACTCGTGTTTCTTTTTGACTAAGTGCCTGTTATGGGAACGTTGATGACTGAGGTGTTGCTGTGTCTCAAATTTGGAAAAAAAGAATAATTGAAAGGCATTATCGTAGAGGGTGGAAAAATTTGAAGATTAATTATTTGTACCCTTAATAATTATAGAGTTGATACTTATGGAAAAAATTTGGAAAAAAAGAATAATTGCAAGGCATTATCGTAGAGGGTGGAAAAATTTGAAGATTAATTATTTGTACCCTTAATAATTATAGCGTTGATACTTATAGGTGGTTAGAATAATAAATTTTTAAACTTCTAAATTTCCAAATTCCTAAGCTTCCAAATTTCTAAGTTTCCAAATTCCTAAGTTCCTAAATATCTAAATTTCTTAAATTAAGAAATTAAATTTCAAAATTAAACTTAACCCAATATTAATAAATAAAAAATGAAAAGATTTTCTTCTCTGTTTTCAGCAAACTTCCCAAAGACAATCGAGAACCTAGGAGACTCAATCTCATCAGAGCTTGAGGGTAATCCACCCTTATGGGTCACCAGGAGATCAGGCACACACGGCGAGGACGTTTACATAAATAACGCAAAGATCATCGTAGAACGAAGCAATTTTCAATCGAAGGTTACAGTCGGTGGCGATGTGAAAACTCAGGTGAGTGTTAATTCGCAAATTTGATTCAGGTGGCCTTGATTAAATGAACGAAAAACGACAGTAAATCTCTCTGGGGACTCTAATGAATTTCACTTGGTTCGTTCAGTGGTCGCGGTTAATTTAATAGCAAATTACCTTTTTACGAGCTTAATCTCCCTAGCAATTACGTACTGCTTTGCGTGAACACGACTTCCGGTGTTCCAAACGTGATTTCCTGGAAAATGTGCTCAAGAAGTTCATACGATGTACTTATACACCTCGTACTCCTCTTTTAACGAGATTTTAATGCTGTGCAGTTCGTTGCATTGATGGATATTGATAAACTTATCGAACGTGCTTCTTTTTATCAGAAAAAGATTTTTCTTATCTATAAGGGCTCTAAACTGAAAATTGAAAATTTAAAAAATGGAAAATATCTGAAAAATATTAAATTATTGTATGTTAAATGACTGATTTTGAAATGTACAAATATCTATTGTATTTTATTACATTAAATAAAGCTTAAAATTGATTAAAAATAATTGTTTGTTAATATTTATAGCTCCTTGAAATTTTGCTACTGCAAAATACCTGTTGTATTATATCAAATTAAAGCCTAAAATTTATTAAAAATCTTTTGAGCTGAAAATTCGAAAAAATTTAATTAAGAAGCAAGAGCAATGGAATAAACATTTTTAATACCATTTCACCATTTTTTGTGTTCTCAATGTGTTCAACATCCTCATCGCTTTTCCAGACGAACGTGGACCTCGTTTCAATTCGCCAAACGAATCCTTTAATCTTTCAGCAAGTATCATCATTGATGAAAATCGCGGAGCGGAGCCAATCTTCGGCTAATCTCTTCAACGCTCTCGTTCGTAGATCAATCTTCCTATCTTTCCTCTCGTTCTTCTTTCCCTCTGCCCGTCTCTTGTTCCGCCTCGCGCCGGTATTAGAGAAACTTTTCTCATCCACTTAACGGAGAAGTTCTATCGCGGCCGATACTTCCTACTTGTTCGTACAGCACTAGAGTATCGGATCATAATTAATGTAGACAAAAGTGGGCTAATCGAATAACTTTTTACATTCCGATTCGCTGAACTCACCGAAACTACGTTTTCTCGATCAAGCTGAACCCGAAACTTTCTTTCCCGTTCGACTGATTAACTCGTTTCGATATGTGCATCTCTTTTTTTATTCAGTCACGTTTCAGATGTTGTTACAGCGATAAAGATCGACTTGTGTAATAATCTGCAACAATTTACACTGATAAATATTCTATAATAATTTTGAAAATTACAACCCTTCCTTTTTTAATTCTCTCATCGCAACCTAAGGGTGTATTTACCCCCCTAGAATTACATATTTGCTATAACTCAAGTATTTGTTGGATTTCCAAGTGAGAAATAATTTTTATTAATTATGGTGGAGAAAATTCGAAATTTTAAATTAGAATTCAATAATAAAATAAAATAAATTTTAATTTTATCATAACTCATTAATTCCAAAGAATTTGACGCCCTTTTCACCATCCTTGTTGTCCTCTCTATTTAAAAAACGAAAAAAGAGGTTGAAATTGGGTTGGATTAAATTCGCAGAAATGAAACGAGCATCAACATGGAAGGCTAGGAATATTAAGGGGATACAGCAGTTAACGGGCTACCAGCAGACAGCGTTGGAATCGTATAAAAATATTTTCCGGCTTATTTAAACCGCCTGGCAGTTACGTTCTCGCGTTTCAACGGAAGTATATCCTCGGAGGAACACGAGATCAACGCGGCGGCTACGTAATAACTGACATAGTCCCGGCACCGTTAACGTTTACGATCTCGTTGCGAACTACATCACACGCCGGACGATTCCCAGCGAAAAAATACTCCGAGGAAATTCCTGCAGGCTTCGTTATTCAACGGGGGAGAATCCCGGGATAAACGGGCCGTGTCGGAGAAGAAACGATAGTACGGGACGGGAGATTATCCATGAATCTAAAAATCCACCGGAGAAACGGTGCACTAATTTCACGAGGCGATAGTAGAAAACGGGTAATGAAAAAACTGATGGTCAGGGATGAAACGATTGATTAACTAAATGTCTATCATTATTTTCACGAATAAAGTTGAGATAAATGGTAATAAATTTAGAAGAAATAAATAAACATACGAGAACACCCCAGTACACTATAATATGAATTATTAAATATATTGAAAATTAATTTTTAATTACGATATAAAATTAGAACATTGTAATCTTCCTCATTTTTTTCAATTAAATATTTTTAATTTTGTTAAACGCTCTATATTTTCTTCTCATGAATGTCCATCCAAAGATGTCGTCAAACGAGGAATTTCACGATAAACCACACACGAGGGTGGAAAAAAAGTATCTTGAGGCATAGGTAACGTCGAGGTCGGAAAGCCGTGGAGGTTTTTAATCTGGAAAGCTCGCGGGCTTTTGAACTCATTAAATGCTGCTGGAACGCGTTTCCTCCACGTGCTGCCTCGGGCAGCGAACCATTCGACCTCGTCCCTGTTTCTTAACAATTTAAAGAAATTCCAGTCCGAATAACTGCACCGACCCATTAGCCACGAATCGCCAAAAGAGTTACGGTTAATGGAGAGAAAAAATGGTAGGAGGGAAGACGAACGGGTTGAAAGGGTAGCAGGGTTGAAAGCGACTCGACCGTCCAAGGGTAAATTGAAAATCAGTCAGTGATGAGGGTGAATACTTGCTGGATAGTTTCCTGACGAAACTCCGTGTGAAGATTCGATCGAATACGTTCGATCAATAGAATTTTATTCGAACCATCTTCGAGGTGTGATATGCTTCGAAGGGTACATTGGATCGCGTTTGATATCGATGATGAGGAGGAAAGATAATTGGGTGCTAAAACTTGCAGGGGTCACTAAACTCTAAATACTAAACTCTGGACTTTGAACTTTCAACATTGGAGTTTGAATTTGAACTCTGGGTTTTGGATTCTGGAATTTGGAGTTTAGGTTCTGGATTTTGGACTCCAAAGTTTTAGTTTTGGATATTGAATTAAAGGTTCTTCATTGATTTTATTCGAGTATTACCTTTCTTTGTAAAAGAAAGATTGATATATTTTTTATAATATAATTGATAAATAGATTTCAACGAATCCTAATTTTACTCTCCATGCAACGTGTTTGTTGATCTGAAAAACGTGTTGGTCCCCTCGAATTTTATACCGAATAAAATGTATTTTGCTTCCCGTTGAATTTTAATCACTATGAGAATTATTACACGCTTGGTTATTGTTTGAATTTCGAAAGCCTCGTTCTGATGCAGAAATATGATTCACAGCAAGCGTTCGTCCTTGTTTTTTTACTCCTATAAAAGCCATTCTAATTTCCGTATGCAAATAAAGTGATAAAACGTTGTTCGAATGGAAGGCTAAAATGCGACGATATTATCGAATGAAATAACAAGTATTGAAAACTGACCTCGAGTGCAAATGGGGGATTAATAATTCCCTTAGAAAATATTTGATTAAGTGAAATCAAATGAGGCAAAGGGTGAGAAATGTCCTTTTTGCTATAAGTTAAAATCGTTTTTATTCAGCCTATTTTTGCAATGAATGATGAATACTAATATCAGCTTTGTAATAAATTCATGATCCTATTTAAATGATAATTATATTATCATAATATTCTTTATCCGATTTTAAAATTTATAGTATTTTTCTTTAAATAAATTTAAAAAATTCTATTTTCTTATTATTGTTACTAACATAATTCAAAAATATATACTTTTTTAATTTAAAAAATTATAGAATGAAGGGTTGAAATAAATTTGAAATTACCATTAGCTGAAAATTGAACATGTCTCCAACATTTCAATTTAAATTTATGATCAATCTGTATTCATTACATTGCTCGAATAGAATAAATGTTTAGTCAAAAGACGAAGGAAACGTCAACGATAGACAATGTTCCTTTTTAAAAGGATATTTCTGTCGGAAGGGAAATTCAACTTTCAGCTCGATCCAGTATAATCGAATACAAAATGTGGTTGTCTGTGCCGGGCTAATACGTTGTATGGGAATAATGCTCACATATCCGCTTTCAATTCGATAGATATGTAAAATATATGCCGTATTTGCGTAAAATGAATACGAAACGCTGGGAATATTTCATCGTTAAATCGATTGAGTATTACTACGAGTTACGAGCACCAGACAATTTAAAGCTTCCTTGCTATTGTTGGGCGAAAAATCAGAATAATTCAATGTCCTATGAAAGGATAGAATACAGGGGTTTTCAATTTTTTTTAATTTCATAAATTAAATATCATTGATTTTGTGGAAAATAATATTTAAAATTAAAAATTTAATATTGTTAATTATTTCAAAAGAAAAGATAAAATAAAATTGAATAAAGAAATATGCGATTAGTAATAGACATGCATAAAGATATTTCAACAGGAGCAGTTTATCATAAATTAATCAACGAGAAATTAAATCTTACGATTACTGGAACACTGAAAGGGACGCGCGTCGCGACGGCTGGCGTCTCGGAGGCTGGTTTTCGCGGTCGCGCAGCTAGTTCCCTTCATGGCGCAATTTCCTTTTACGAGACACTCCGGCAGCCTGTAGAGAAACTTCTCCCAGGAGGCCGTGAATGCTATGGGACAAGAAGGGAAAAGTATCAAGGAAGTTGGCTTCGCGGTAACTCGATTTGGAACGAAATAAAGCCGAGATTTTCCTGGCGTAAATGCCGCCAGCCGAATCTGTCCTGAGCCGGTAGACAAAACAGGGTCGCGTTACGGCTTGTTAAAAAATGCACGCCGCTACGGGACTGAAGAAGCGAGTTTCCAACAGCATGCTGGCGGGAAGAAAAAAGGAGAAGCACGAGGGTGCACGAGCGTACTGGGAAACCAAGAAGTCAGTAATAGATGAAAGAGAAATGGCTGAACATGTGGGGAAGGAAAACGAGCGCGATAGTCGGTCTGATAAAATAAAAATGACGCCAGCTCCTAAGGGGTGAATATCGCTCACCCCT